TGTGAGCATTGGTTAGTGGTGGCCAGATAGAAGGTTTATGCACAGTTGCAAGACTCTGGAGGACTCAACACCTTGATGTCTGTGGGACTCCAGAGGCACCAGCAGCTTCAAATATCTGTTTGCTGCTATGTACTGGTATTTTAGCAGCTGCTCTCTTGATCCGATGCATGGATCTGGCAGAAATCTTCCTCAATGTGCCTTTATCTGTATGTGCTCTGAATCAGCCACAAATCTCTTAATAGTGCGATGATCACGTTTAAGTTTTCGTGAAATATCTAATGTTTTCATACCTCGTCCAAGGCATTGAACTATTTCACTCTTTTTGGCAACAAAGAGATCCTTTTTCTTCCCCATATTGCATGAAAATGGTGCTCTGCTTAATAATGTGGAACACCCTCCTTTAGTAGTTTTTTCTTAAATTGGGCTCACCTGGCAATCTAATTATCACAGGCGTCTGAGATTGTTTTCAGTGATCAAAAGAGCCCTGAGACACAATGCCATCCATGAGTTAAACTGAAAAACTAAATATTTCATCTTTGTGACACTTAAATAGAATTTGCATAATAATTTGGAACAGGGTGTATATAGCCCTGTGAAGGGTAATGTGTAATACACTCAGTTTCTGTAATAATTCTTCATGTAAACCATATCCAGCAAGTGGATTGGTATTGTAGTACTGTCCTGTAAACTGACAGATCTTAGCTGTGTACAGGCCGAAATACCGCAAAGTAAGTGTCCCGGCCTCCGTCCAACCCGTTCCAACCCGTTCCTATACAGTTAGAGAAATACAGTTAACAGATCCCGAAAAATGGTCCACGGTGCGGGCCTGGCACTGACAGCCGTGACGCCCGCGGACCGCGGTGAGGGGAAACACACCAGGTAGAGCAGAATAAAATAAGGAGACAATGTAAATAAATAACCATAAAATAACCATTAAATATAAGTAGGAACAGGTATAGGAGAGCCAGGGAGTATAGAGTAAGTAGAGAATAGAAAAATAAGTACAAAGCAATCTTTTAAATGAGAAGCAATCAGGAGAGACAAAATACTCTGACCTGTGCCAGGCTGGAGCAGCAAAGAAAGAGGAAGTGATGTCATAGACAGAGCCATTTGTATACCTATTGACTTTTTTCTGATTGGTTGGTCTGTTTCTGTGCTGCTGGAGATTTTCAGTAAAGAGAGTTATGCAAATATGAAGCCTCCTGTCATGTGGTAAAATTATGTTTCCTGCATCACTACATACATAACACTCTTACCTCTGGCCTATGACCTACTGTATGATAAGATAGAGGAAGAAGAAGAGGAGAGTGTGTAGAGTAAAGGCAGCAGCCAGCACCACTGCGCTCTTTCCTATGGCCCAGGACCTACTCAATGATTAGTATGATGAACCAGGGGGCGTAGAAGGGGAGAGTGTGGAGAGCAAATTCAACAGTCCAGTATTCCAGTATTCTCTGGCAGCAAGTGTGCACTTACCTCCTGTATCTTCTCACTGGAGACAGTTGTGAAATCAGCTGCACCTGCTACCAGTGGCACAAGCAGCTCGCCCACTGTCATTATTACCATCACTACCATTCCCAAATGCCACCACCATCAATATTAGTAGAATCAACATGAACATTTACATTTACATTAATCACCCCAGTGCTTGTCTACAGGCTGGTGTTGCAACAGCTTCCACTATGCAAATCACCAACAAAGCAAAGGGTGGGGGAAAATGTATCATGTCAATGATGCATAGTTTGGGAGCACTTTGAATGCAACCACGAAGACCAACTTGCAAGAAAGTGAGTAGGGGTCAAGAGAAAAGTCATCTCACTAGTGCCGGTAATAAACAAAATAATTTTTGTAATTGGGATGCTTTCTTGAATATTTGCTATTATTGAAGGAAAGCTAGGCCACCTTGATCAGGTACTAATGAGGGATTTCTATGTAGCAAGAGTTACATTTAAGGCAAGTGCCAAATTGAACACATAGTTGAAAAAGCTGAAAACCTACTTCCTGCTTCAAAGTACAGTACATCAATACCTCCAATACTATTGTGCATGTATTGTCTTTATAAGTGTTCTGCAAGGATATTCCCACAAGTCTATATTACTGTGGGAAAAAGCAGAACAAGAAAGTACTAGGGAAGACAACAAGTACACTGCACAGTTGTCACAACTTGAGCGGACACCTGGATGTTCGGGTCCGGCGGGTTCGGCCGAACTTTGGAAAAAAGTCCAGGTTCGGGCTCGACCTTGACCCCAAACCTGAACCACATTGAAGTCAATGGGGACCTGGACTTTTAGGGACAAATATTGCTCTAAAAAAGTCCTGGAAAGGGCTAGAGGGGTGCAAAAGGAAGTAAAATGGAGGTAAGAGTAGGACAAGTGCCCTGCAAACAAATGTGGATAGGGAAATCACTTAAAATAACATAAAATACATACAAATTAAAAATACAGCTGAGCCATAAAATAGCACTAGATGGAATCTTTGATTTTAGCTTTGGAAGAACATAAATCAAAATCTAAAGCATGGCTGTCAGGAGGATCGCCATAATTATCCATTTGAGAGAGGGTTGGAGTGCAGGGTATTCTCTTTCATTGTTCAAACTGAGCTCAACTCCTGATGCATGGAGAAAAGGCCTTCACAAGTATCTGCTATTGCGTACATAGTTTATACTAAGTGACCCATAGGTTTAGGAAGTGTGACCGTGGTGGTGTAGGTGGAAGCGGCGGTGGAGGAGGTAGCCAACAATGTTTTTTATTTATTTGTTTGTTTGTTTTTAGTTTTTTTTTAATTGGGGTAGCCTCCAAAATATCGGAACATATAAAAAAAAGAAACATTTGCGGCCTGCGGTGCATTTCTTGCAGTCCAATAACGCCATCAGGTTTTTTAAACTGTCCATCTCCACTAGATGGAATGACAGCATTTCAAAGGCCAGGAATTTTGAAATGCTGGCATTCAGGGCCAGGGATCGTGGGTAGGTAGGGAGGTACTTCCTCGTTCTCTCCAGTGTTTGGGAGATGGACAGCTGAACGCTTCCATGGGACAGTGTAGAGATGCTGGACAATTGTGTACCTGGCCTATGCTGGTACAGGAACCCACCCTCCGAGCCACTTATGAATGACTGACCTGATAACCATGGAAATGACCCCTCTTCCTCCTCCCCTTCCTCCTGTGCCACATCCTCTTCCATCATCGCCCTAAGTGTTTTTTCAAGGAGACAGAGAAGCGGGATAGTAAGGCTGAGAACAGCATTAGCGGCACTGGCCATGTTGGTGCAGCCCTCTAAACAGCGCAACATGGCACGCAGGTCTCGCATGGAGGCCCACTCAGTGGTGGTGAAGTGGTGCTGTTCCGCAAAGCGACTGACCCGTGCATGCTGCAGCTGAAACTCCGCTATCGCCTGCTGCTGCTCGCACAGCAGTCTCTCCAGCATGTGCAAGGTCGAGTTCCACCTTGTGGGCACGTCGCATATGAGGCGGTGAGCGGGAAGGCCGAAGTTACACTGCAGCGCAGGCAGGCAAGCAGCAGCAGGGTGAGAATGCCAAAAGCACGCACAGACGGCCCGCACTTTCTGCAGCAGCTCTGATATATCTGGGTATACACTGTGGCGGTGTAGGAGGAAGCGGCAGAGGACGAGGTAGCCAACACTGTTTTTTATTTATTATTTTTTTTTAATTGGGGTAGCCCCCAAAATATTGGGACATATAAAAAAAGAAAAAAAAAGAATAAGTGCACTTGAGTATAACAATGGCTGGGTGAGGCCGGTTGTTACGGTACCTCCAGTAATTAAATGCACAAACCGCCGTTTAGTGAATGTTCCCCGTTCGCAATACTGTGGTCTGGACAGTGAAACCATGTGAACCGCCAGCTAGGGAACACTCCCGAACGGTACCTGTACGGCTCTTTCCCTTCTCGAGCTCCAAATGCACGAATCGCCAATAGCAGCCGAACGGCAATAGTTTCCAAGCGGCAAATAATTCCAATAAGGAGTCTCTAGGCGCCGGTAATAAAATCCCCCCAATAACGAGACCAGGCTCCGCTTTGAGGGTAAAACACAAACTGATTTACTGTGGGCTACCTGCCCGGTATTTATTCAGGTCTCCCACTTGGTGGACACTCCCCTAGAGGACCAAATGGGAGACTGAAATAACAGAAGGACATGGGGACATTTTGGACATACATCCCCACAATATTCCCAGCATGCATCACAGTTCCCTCCCCTCTGCTCGGGAGATAATTGGGAAGTAATTCAATTATCTCCCAGAGCAGAGGCAAATCACCATTTTAACTCAAAGTTATAAAACACATTAAAATACATAACTTTCTAATTGCCGAACATATTGCATTCGTGTAACACATCCCCAGATAGCCTGGATCTGAGTGCATATTATTGGCGAATAGCGCTCAGATCCCATAGGCATAGTTCAATCGCCGTGGAGTCAAAGTCTATTAAAGCTCTTCGGTATGCGATTGACTCCATGGGAAGGCTATCTGGGTTAAGTCCATTCGTGTTGTTGAATCTCCCGAACGGCCGGCATTCGTATGCTTTTGTCGATTGAGAAGGGGAGGTCGACGGCTTCAGCGGTGTTCGGTTGAAAAAGTGTCCGTTTTCAGTTCCATGAAATAACCGTCGAACACTGCTGGTCTTTCGCATGGTTAAAATGGCCGCCGCCTTGTGGTCAACATACGAACGACGACCACCCGGTATTCGGCTTTAATTGAGAAGTGTCTGTGGTTAACCGCAACGTTCTAATTGGGATCAATAGGTTAACCAGCAGCACACTTCTCTTCTGGGTGGCCGTCCGTCCGTTCGGTAGTTCCGTTCGACAAAAAAAGACATTCCCTTAAACAAAGCATACGAATGGGGGAATTCATGCAAACGGCAAAATAGACGAACACAGTGCTTTTAGTCCATACAGATGGTCTGTCACACCGGTATAAATGTCTATTCTGCACAAGGTACAGACAAGTCTGGTGGGATTCATGCCTGGTTCATTTTAATAAATGTGAGCTTGTCCACGTTGGCCGTGGACAGGCAGCTGCGCTTGTCTGTGATAACCTTGTGCGAATCGCTCGTCCCCGTGCCCTATCAACTTTCGATGCAATTTTCTGCACCTACCATGGTGACCACAGGTAATGGGGAATCAGGGTTCGATTCCAGAGAGAGAGCCTGAGAAACGGCTACCACATGCTAGGAAGGCAGCAGGCGAGCAAATTACCCACTCCCGACGTGGGGAGGTAGTGACGACAAATAACAATACACTACTCTTTCGAGGCCCTGTCATTGTAAAGAGTCCACTTTAAATCCTTTAACTTGGTTCAATTGGAGGGCAAGTCTGGTGCAGAGTGACTGACCCGTGCGTGCTGCAGCTGAAACGCCACTGTCGCCTACTGCTGGTCGCTGAAGCTGCATCAGGGTCCTGGTATGTGGCTGCACAAACACTGGTGCTCAACACCAGGGGGCGTGCTGTTACCCTGTACCAGACCCTGCTAATCCATTCCACACTGTGACTCCTAACTTCAATATCAGGTGTCAGGGGACTGCCCCCCTGACTGTGAAACTGCAAATGGGTCGTTAAATCTGTTATGGTTCCTTTTATCGCTCCATCTGTTACTTGAATAACTGTGGGAATTCTAAAGATAATACATGACGACGAGCGCTAGGGGACTGCCACTCCGCTTTTGCACCCTGCTCCCTCTTATGCTGTGCTGGTGCCTCTGTGCGACCAGTGCCTCTTCCTCCAAACTGCACACGTCACTCGCATGACATTCATTCCACGTTGTTTTGGTGTTTGGTTTTTAACTTTGTAGATGTGTCTTTCCACATGTATATTAATGCTTCTGTATACGAAGCGATCACAATAACACTTATTTTTCACTTTTTTAAAAAGTCTTTAGACTTTCTTGAGAAGCGGTAACTACACCAGATATGAAGTGCAGGCACCAAATTTACTTTTTAGCACCTGAAGAATTAGAATTTTTAAAACTGCTATGTCACAGCAGTATTTGACGGTTCTATTTGACTCTCAGATATGAAGTGCACCACAGGCCGCAAATGTACTATTTAGCACCTAAAAAATTCAAATGTTTAAAACTGCTCCCCCAGGAGAAAGAGCAAGATCCTGGATCCTGCAGCCTGGACCTCTGCTCAGCACAGCACCCAGGTATGGCATGGTTAAGGGGGATTGCTTATTGTGTGCATGTTTGTAAATGGGGGAGTGTGTTAAATTGGTGTGTTTGTGTGTGTAAATAAAGTGTGACCTTATGTAAAGTTTGTGTTTGAGTGACAGTGTGTGTGTTAGGGAGAGTGTGCAAGTGACTCTGTGTGTGTGTGTGTGTGTGTGTGTAGTGAGAATGTGCAAGTGACTCTGGGTGTGTGTGTTAGGGAGAGTGTGCAAGTGACACTGTTAGTGAGTATGTGTTAGGGAAAGTGTACAAGTGACACTGTTAGTGAGTATGTGTTAGGGAGAGAGTGCAAGTGACAGTTAGTGAGAGTGTGCAACTTAGTGACACTGTTAGTGAGCATGTGTGACACTGTGTGGTGTTAGAGTGTGTAACTGACAATGTCTATGCCAGTGAGAGTGTGTAATTTAGAGTGTGTGTGTATAAGTGAGAGTATGTAGGTGACACTGTGTGTGTTAGTGAGAGTGTGTAAGTGACACTGTGTATGTTAGTGAGAGTGTGCAAGTGACAATGTGTAGGTCAGTGAGAATGTATATGTATTAGTGTGTAAGTTAGAGTTAGAATGTGTAATGTGCCAGTGAGAGAGTGTGTGTATTAGTGAGATTGTGTAAGTGACACTGCAAAGGTAATTATTGCAATTTTTAAGAAACTTCAATAATTACCATTCAGGGTTAACTCCAACCCAGTTCAGACAGCATAACAACATTAAATGTCACCAATGCCAGCGCTGGGGACACTATAAAAAAAGAGTGTCCACAACTGCGAGATCGCACCACATGGATCCGGCCCGGTCCACCACCACCACCACCACTCAAAGCAGCAACCCATTGTTACCAGACAGAGGCTGCAATGACCTATGACGCTGGGGTTCCCACCACCACAGTAGAACAGTGGGAAGTGCTCCATGAGGCAGATCCTTTACAGGCCCATGCAGACAATCGACAACCATCGGCAGACCGTGTACCTATAGGGAAAGGCAGTACAAGGGCTTTGCGATTCTGGAGCCACTATCACTTTGGTAAAGAGCCACCTAATTCCCACAGAAGCAAGAACAAGCAGGACTGTAGCCGTAAGGGTAGCCGGGGGAGCAGTATACCGACTACCCACCGCCCAAGTGCATTTGAATTGGGGGGCGGGTCATGGGAATGTGGGGTTGATGCCACAACTCCCAGCAGAAGTTTTGTTGGGGAATGACTTAGGGAAATTGACATCGGCATACATTGACACCCACACCCAGGACTACAACTCACACCCGGAGGTTCAGGTAAAAGATCCTTCCCCATCTGTAGAATGTATACCCTGGGCCCCACCTAGTGAATTTGAAGCCGAGGTAGCCACAGATCCTACGCTACAAGTATATAGGGATAAGATAGCCACAGGGGTGGCAGGGACAGACGGGGAGAGATTCATATGGGAGGGTAAGCTCTTATATAGAGAGACCGAGAAAAAGGTAGACGGAGCAGATCCAGTCATTATACGTCAGTTAGTGGTACCACAGAGGTACCGATCCGAATTACTCCGGATAGCGCATGATATACCGCTATCCGGACACCTGGGAGTTAGTCGCACCCGGTATCGATTGACCCAGAGTTTCTTCTGGCCAGGGATAAGTCAGGAGGCCCAGAGGTATTGCGGTACCTGCAATACCTGCCAGAGGGTAGGAAAAAGGGGAGACCGCAGGAAAGCCAAGTTGCACTCCCTACCCATAGTGGAGGAGCCGTTTAGTCATCTAGCAGTGGACATAGTAGGTCCCTTAAGGAAGGCTAGCCCCTCGGGTAAGAAATACATATTAACAGTGGTAGACTATGCTACCTGGTATCCCGAGGCGGTAGCATTAACTAACATTCATGCAGAAACGGTGGCTGAGGCCCTCATGAAGATTTTCTCCCGGGTAGGATTACCCCGGGAGATCCTCTCCGATCAGGGCACTCAGTTTACTGCGGAGGTCACACAGCAGCTATGGAAATTTTGTGACATGAGGCCAATAATCAGTGCCCCATATCACCCCCAGACCAATGGGCTCTGTGAACGGTTTAATGGAACATTGAAACAGATGCTCCGAACGTTCGCAGAAACCCATCGGGACTGGGAAAGATTCCTACCACGCCTCCTCTTTGCTTATTGGGAGGTGCCGCAGGAATCCACGGGGTTCTCCCCGTTTGAATTATTATATGGGGGACGGGTCCGAGGTCCCCTGGATCTCATTAAGGAGCACTGGGAGGGAGAACACAGCTCCACAGGTACTCCCATCATACCTTATGTATTGGAGTTTCGGAAGAACCTCCAGGCGGCGCAGACACGTCAGCGCACATGGTATGATTGGAACGCCAGGGACCGTAGCTTTCAGGTAGGACAGCAAGTTTTAATTTTAAAACCTGTGCAGAATGACAAGCTACAGGCTGCCTGGCAGGGCCCTTATAAGGTGCTGGAGCAGCGCTGCGACACCACCTATATCATTGGCCCCTGTGCTGGCTCAGGGGGGCGACGCATGATTCATGTGAACATGCTGAAACCCTACCGGGAGCGCTCCGACGAGGTGACAGCCATTTGTGCACCCCCCTCTGAAGAGTTTGACAACCTTCCCCTTCCAGACCTGCTAGAGGACAGGAAATCAGGTAGCGACATAGCCGAGGTTAAGCTGGGGAGCGGCTGAGTCCTCAGGAGCGTAGTGAGGTACAACAGTTGCTGAGGGAAAAACAAGAATCCTTCTCTAATGTACCAGGTTACACGCCCCTGGCAACTCACCGCGTAGAAACCCCAGGCCAGTTACCTATGCGCCAAACCCAATACCGCATACCAGAGGCGGTGCGGGAACACATGTGCCAGGAGATCAATGAGATGCTCCAACTGGGAGCCATTGAGCCTTCTGACAGCCCTTGGGCTTCTCCGGTAGTCCTGGTACCGAAACGGGATGGTACCACCCGTTTCTGCGTGGACTACCGGAGATTAAATGAGAAAACCGTATCTGACGCCTATACTATGCCCAGGATAGACAAATTGCTGGACCGGATGGCTAGGGGCCAATACCTCACTACAATTGATCTTTGTAAGGGGTATTGGCAGATTCCTTTAGTCCCAGACGCTATCCCTAAGTCGGTGTTTGTCACACCATTCGGCTTGTACCAATTTAAGGTAATGCCGTTTGGGATGAAGAACGCCCCAGCCACGTTCCAGTGGATGGTAGACCGTCTCCTAGATGGGTTCCAAGACTATACCTGTGCTTATCTGGATGATATTGTCATCTTTAGCGATACCTGGCAGGAGCACCTAACCCATATAGGGCCGGTTATAGACTGGATCAGGAAGGCAGGGTTAACGTTAAAGCCAGCCAAGTGCAGTATTGGGATGGCTGAGGTTCAGTACCTAAGTCACCGAGTAGGTTGCGGTATGCAGAAGCCAGAACCCGCAAAGGTAGAGGCCGTAGCTCAGTGGCCAACCCCTAGGACCAAAACTCAGGTATTAGGGACGGCAGGGTATTATAGGAAGTTTGTGCCCAATTATAGTGCCCTGGCCAAACCCCTTACCGACCTGACCCGTAAAAACCTTCCCCGTCAGGTCACCTGGACCCCGGAGTGTGAACAGGCATTCCAACAACTGAAGAATGCACTGGTAAATGCTCCCGTCTTGGCAGCCCCGGATCCAACTAAACGTTTTCTTGTCCACACAGACGCTTCTATGTTTGGACTGCGGGCAGTACTGAGCCAAGTTGGGGCCAATGGCGGAGAACATCCCGTGGCTTACATCAGTAGAAAATTGTTACCAAGAGAAGTAAGCTACGCCGCCATCGAAAAGGAATGCCTGGCCGTGGTGTGGGCACTGAAGAAATTACAACCGTACTTGCATGGACAGCCATTTTCGTTGCTCACGGATCACAACCCGTTGGTGTGGTTGAACCGGGTGGCTGGGGACAATGCCAGGCTGCTACGCTGGAGTTTGGCGCTGCAGCCCTTTGACTTTAATATACAATACCGCCCGGGGAAACAGAATGGAAATGCTGACGGGTTGTCAAGACAGACTGAATTGGAAAAATGATTTATGAGCATCCCCGGACATCCCCATGTCGATCCGTAATAGATCTGACTGTGTATGCCGGCTTGTGGGCAAGGGGGAGCAGTGTAGCGGAACCCCTTTTTGGCTGGCTCATTCCCTTTTATTGATTGTTGGCCCTGCAGAGATTTTCCTGTGCCTGGAGT